GATTGCACGTCTCACCATCTTTGGCCAATCCGTGCTGATGGGAAGAACAGTTCAATAATATCTGGAAGTGCCCACTAACATGGGTTTGGATCTTCTTTTATAAGCCTACTGTCAAGAATGAAACTTTGGCAGCTGCGTGCCTCTTCGTTTCAACCTAGAATTAAGGAGAAGCTTCCTGACAGTGAGGTCAATTAAGCAGTGGAACAGCTTGCCACCAGAAATTGTGGGTGCTCCATCACTAGATATTTTTTTTAAAGAAGAGATTGGACAGTCACCTGTCTGAGATGGTATAGGTTCTCCTGCTTGAGCAAGGGGCTGGATTAGAAGACCTCCAAGGTCCCTTCCAGCTCTATTCTATTCTAACATTCTAACTTGCCATTAGAGTAAAAAGGGGGTGTGTTGCTTTAGAATGGGTTGGATGGAGAAGCAAAACCTCTACGATCTTTTGTTCCTCTGCTCTTGGGGCAGTTTCCTTTTCTGCTCAGGTGGAAAGAGATTGTTTTCAACTAGATGCTGTTGGACGGCATCAGCTACCACACCGGTCAGCAATCTGAAAGTTGTTGGTAAGCAAGGCGTCGAGTTTAAAGAGGGGGTAAATGGCGCTGCATGTTACAGTTATTTCTAAATCCAAACGAACTAGCCATCTCTCTGTCTTACCTGACGGAACATGTGACAAGCAGAACCACGTCAGCCTAAAAGAGAGGGGGGGGGGAGAAAGAGCTGGAATTATTAAACACCAACAGGGGTAAGGAAGAAACATTTTGCCTTCTCTGGGGGTCAAACCTTCCACCTCTGCACAAAATGGGCTTCTTGCCTAATAGAAACCTTTAAAAAGCTCCATTTAAGCAGAAAAAAGCAGCCTCCAGCATTACCCAAACTAGGGAATAGTCAGTGCTAAAAGGGAGAGGTGTTTGAGAGGAGGAGGAGGAGGAGGAGGAGGAGGAGGAGGAGGAGAAGAACTGTGGGGTCCTTGGTGCTGAGTTTGGTTGTTTTCTTGCAGACGTTTCATTACCCAAACTAGGGAATAGTCAGTGCGAGGAGGAGGAGGAGGAGGAGGAGGAGAAGGAGGAGAACTNGATTGCACGTCTCACCATCTTTGGCCAATCCGTGCTGATGGGAAGAACAGTTCAATAATATCTGGAAGTGCCCACTAACATGGGTTTGGATCTTCTTTTATAAGCCTACTGTCAAGAATGAAACTTTGGCAGCTGCGTGCCTCTTCGTTTCAACCTAGAATTAAGGAGAAGCTTCCTGACAGTGAGGTCAATTAAGCAGCGGAACAGCTTGCCACCAGAAATTGTGGGTGCTCCATCACTAGAGATTTTTTTTAAAGAAGAGATTGGACAGTCACCTGTCTGAGATGGTATAGGTTCTCCTGCTTGAGCAGGGGGCTGGATTAGAAGACCTCCAAGGTCCCTCCCAGCTCTATTCTATTCTAACATTCTAACTTGCCATTACAGTAAAAAGGGTGTGTGTTGCTTTAGAATGGGTTGGATGGAGAAGCAAAACCTCTACGATCTTTTGTTCCTCTGCTCTTGGGGCGGTTTCCTTTTCTGCTCAGGTGGAAAGAGTTTGTTTTCAACTAGGTGCTGTTGGACGGCATCAGCTACCACACCGGTTAACAATCTGAAAGTTGTTGGTAAGCAAGGCGTCGAGTTTAAAGAAGAGTTTAAATGGCGCTGCATGTTACAGTTATTTCTAAATCCAAACGAACTAGCCATCTCTCTGTCTTACCTGACGGAACATGTGACAAGCAGAACCACGTCAGCCTAAAAGAGAGAGGGGGGAGAAAGAGCTGGAATTATTAAACACCAACAGGGGTAAGGAAGAAACATTTTGCCTTCTCTGGGGTCAAACCTTCCACCTCTGCACAAAATGGGCTTCTTGCCTAATAGAAGCCTTTAAAAAGCTCCATTTAAGCAGAAAAGAGCAGCCTCCAGCATTACCCAAACTAGGGAATAGTCAGTGCTAAAAGGGAGAGGTGTTTGAGAGGAGGAGGAGGAGGAGGAGGAGGAGAACTGTGGGGTCCTTGGTGCTGAGTTTGGTTGTTTTCTTGCAGACGTTTCATTACCCAAACTAGGGAATAGTCAGTGCGAGGAGGAGGAGGAGGAGGAGGAGGAGGAGAACTGTGGGGTCCTTGGTGCTGAGCTTGGTTGTTTCCTTGCAGACGTTTCATGACCCAACTAGGTAACATCATCAGTACTAGAAGGGAGGGGAACTTGTGGGGAGGAGGAGGAGGAGGGGGAACTCTGGGGTCCTTGGTGCTGAGCTTGGTTGTTTTCTTGCAGACGTTTCATTACCCAAACTAGGGAATAGTCAGTGCTAGAAAGGGGAGGAGGAGGAGGAGGGAGGAGGGAGGAGGAGGAGGAGAACTGTGGGGTCCTTGGTGCTGAGCTTGGTTGTTTCCTTGCAGATGTTTCATGACCCAACTAGGGAGATCATCACTGTAGAAGGGAGTGGGGGAGGGGGACGATGACTGTGGGGTCCTTAATGCTCTCTGAGCTGGGTGCTTTTCTTGCAGACGTTTCATGACCCAACTAGGGAACATCATCAGTGTGGAAGGGAGTGAGGTGTAGAAGGGAAGAGGAGGACAACGACTTGGGGGGGGGGTCCTTGCTCTCTGAGCTTGGTGGCTTTCTTGCAGATGTTTCATGACCTAACTAGGTAGTATCACCAGGGTTGCAAGTTCCTTGATATTATTTCTTGATTGTTGGCCTGGTGGTAACCTTGGCGTTCACCTCTGCTCATCTGGTTGCTGATTGCTGGTGGGGAGGTTTTTTTTCCAAATCAAAAAGCTACTAACAGACAAACAAGCTAACAGTAAACAATAATCTAATCAGGAACATTCCCACCAATACTGACGAGCCAGTGGTATCTAAACAGAAAGAAAACCCCACTCCCTCCTAGCCCCAGTGATGTTACCTAGTTGGGTCATGAAATGTCTACAAGGAAAAAAATAAAAATAAAACTAGCACAGAGAACACCAAGGACCCCTCAACCCCCCAATTATGCGACGGGTCTGTCTGGGACAGGGCAATGAATGAATGAGGGAATGGATGGATGGATGAAAAAATGGATGGATGGATGAAAGAATGGATGGATGCATGAATGAAACAAAGAATGAATGGATGAAAGAATGGATGGATGGATGAATAGATGGATGGATGGATGAGTGGATGGATGGATGAATGAATGAATGGTTGAACTGGCACTCCCATTAACCCAGCCGCTGAATAATGAGGCCACTGCCAGGAAGCGCCCAGCCTGGATCTCAAATACCTCTGCCAGGTTTCTAGTCCTTTGGTAGCCGCTGCGCTGGAGGATGGCCCAGGCTGTCTCCGTGTCGCTGACGTTCATCTGGCAGCCGAAGGTCTCCAGATAGACTACAAGGCAAAGAAAGGAGGAGGAGGAGAAAGAGGAGGAGGAGAAAGAGGAGGAGGAGGAGGAGAGTTTTCTTAAGGGAGGGGTCGCTGCGTAGTTGTGCCCTTCATTTTGGGGGTGACTCCATTCTCACTGAACATTGTTCAAAGTTACAACAGCATCGAAAAAAGTGACGGCCATTTTTCACACCTGGGACCGTTGCAGCATTCCCCGTGGTCACGTGATCAAAATTCGGACGCTTGGCAACTGACTCGTATTTACGACAGTTGCAGCATCCCGGAGGGTCACGTGATCACTTTTTGTGACCTTCCGACAAGTCACGTCAAGGGGGAAGCCGGATTCACTTAACCACCGGGCAACTAACCGATCAGCTGCGTTGATTCACTGAACATCCGTGGCAAGAATGGTCGTAAAGCGGGGCAAAACTCACTTAACAACGGTTTCACTTAGCGACGGAAATTTTGGGCTCCATTGTGGCGATCCGTTGAGGGCTGCCGGTAGAATTGTGAGCAGCCCCTCTGGGCCAAGACCCCCTCAATACCTCTGGACAAAGGGCCATTTCCCATAGAGAGGAAAGCCCCCCATCTGCAACGAAGCCCATCTAGGATAATTCCCATCCAACTCGATAATGATAATAATAATAATAATGATGATGATGATGGTGATGTTGGAAGGGACCTTGAAGGTCATCTAGTCCAACTCCTTGCTCAGGCAGGAAACCCTATACCATTTCGGACAAAGGGCTGTCCAGTCTCTTCTTAAAAACCTCCAGTGTTGGAGCATTCGCCGCTTCTGGAGGCAGGTAGTTCCACTGGTTAATTGTCCTCACTGTCAGGAAGTTTCTCCTTAGTTCCAGGTTGCTTCTCTCCTTGATGAGTTTCCATCCGTTGCTTCTTCTCCTGCCTTCAGAAAGTGCTTTGGAGAAGAGCTTGACTCTTCCTAACTGTCAGGACAGTTTTCTTAGCAGCCACAAGGAAATGATTTGACACACTCATTTTGAGACTCCCCGGCCTAATCTGCAACCTGAGGATCTCCTGGTGGTCTCCCATCCATCCCAATACAATCCAGGTTCCACTCTGCTAGGAGCCAGACTGCTCCTTCATCGTGAGGGAACGATTTTGACCCTGTAAGTGGGCAAACTCACAAGGACACAAGGAGTCTCCCCTCCAAAAATGTCTCTAAACAAAATCAAGTCAGCCCTTGTGTAGCGGGAAAGGTATGGTGGAGCAGCCATAACTCACCTTTCTTTGGGGAATCTGCCAGGGTGAGGGGTCCAAGGTAAGGGGCGGGGTCTTCCGGGACTTCAGCTAGCAAGCGGTGGGCATCCTGTGTAGGAGCAGCCGATTGTAGGAAGTGCTGCAGAGATGGACCCCCTACCAGTTTGGAGCGGAAATCTTGGAGGCTTCCTTCATCTCTCTGTTTTTTGAGGGGGGTTTTTGGATCCGGACTGCAGGTGGAAAGCCAGGCTTGGCATCCCGAGTGCACGGACCGACACAGCGGCCTCGGGCAGACCAGGGCGCTGCGCAAAGCCAGCATCTTGGCACGAGGCCCTTCTGCTCCCTAAAGCAAGCAACAGATTAGAAGCGTCAGTCAACTCTTGCTGGGTGCCCTTCAAACAAAATGGGGGGGGGGGACAAATCATTTCGAAAAGCGCTATGAACAGATGAGCCAGTCTGTCCTTCAACCTAACCCGCCTCTCAGGGATGTTGTGGGGAAAAGAGGATGTCTTCTACCTAAAATAGGGAATAAATTCTTTATCCCATGCTCTTTACCTAAAAGGTTGAAATAAAGTTAGGTAGGTAGGCAGGCAGGCAAATAGATAACAGAGATGGATGGATGGATGGATAGATAAGACAGACAGACGTAGATGATAGATTAGATAGATATAAAAGAAAGATAGGATAGAGAGATAGAGATAGATAGATAGATAGATAGATAGATAGATAAGACAGACAGACATAGATGATAGATTAGATAGATATAAAAGAAAGATAGGATAGATAGAGATAGATAGATAGATAGATAGATAGATAGATAGATAGATAGATAGATAGATAGATAGATAGATAGATAGATACATAAATAGATGGACAGACATATAAAAGAAAGATAAGATAAAGATAAGATAGATGATAAATTGTATGGACAGACATATAAAAGAAAGATGATAGATAGATAGATAGATAGATAGATAGATAGATAGATAGATAGATAGATAGATAGATAGATAAGACAGACAGACATAGATGATAGATTAGATAGATATATAGATATAAAAGAAAGATAGGATAGACAGAGATAGATAGATAGATAGATAGATAGATAGATGATTAATTAGATGGACAGACCTATAAAAGAAAGGATAGATAGAGACAGATAATAGATTGACATACATGAATAGTAGATATAGATGATATATGATACAAACAATATATATATATATATATATATATATATATATATATATATATATATATATATATATATAGTTAAATATATACACTGTCATCTATCTATCTATCTATCTATCTATCTATCTATCTATCTATCTATCTATCTAACCCTCTTGCCTCTTCTCCCCACAACCTTGTGAGGTAGGCCGCCTGAAAGGTACTGGCATGGACTCCCCCCCCCCCAGCCTCCTGTTATTCACTCCTTCGTTCGTTCGTTCATTCACTCATTACTTTATTATTATTGTTACTGCTATTATTCATTTTATCCCACCTTTTCAGGCCCAGAAGACCGCTGACGGCCCCTCCCCCACTCTCCCCAGTAACCCTCCAAGGGGCGGAAGACGGACGGCTCTTACCGCCCCACCCCCGAGAGCAGCGCCCCACACCAGAGGCCGGAGACGGAGAGACCCCCAATCCGCGACCCTCGGGACGGCCGGGGACGATCGGGGGCACCTTCTGAGTGACGGACACAGGAAGTGCAGAGAGACTTCCGGGGGGCAGGAGCCGATTCCGCATACAGTAGCGCGGCTCAGCCTCTGATCACGTGGGCGCCTCTAGCGGGGCGGGTGCACCGCCCAAATTGTTCCCTGCCGGAAACGCTCCCTGCGGCGCGACGTTCCGCGCTCTAACCTTCCCTTTCTTTCGCTCTTTCTCAACCTTGGAAGCTTTAATAATAACAATAATAAAGTTGGAAGGGACTTTGGAGGTCATCGAGTCCAACCCCCTGCTCAGGCAGGAAACTCTACACCATTTCGGACAAATGGCCGTCCAGTCTCTTCTTAAAAACCTCCAGTGTTGGAGCATTCAATCTTTAAGAGGGGTGGGCTTCAGCCCCCGGAAGACCCCAGCCAGAAAGCAGGAGGACTGGAGGAGTGATTTTCCCGCTCAGCCTCTTTGAGATGGACGCATGGACTTCAACTCCCAGAATCCCTCAGCCGTAAGCAGGGGGAGGCAGACCCAGTATTTTGCCCAGCTTGGAATTCTGGGAGTTGAAGTCCAGCCATCTTAAAAGGGGCTGAGCTTGAAAAACACTGTTTTGTTGTGTACCACTGCACTGGCTGATCCTTCTGAGCTTCTGGGCAGCCCCAGTACTTGTCATTTGCCCCCCCACACACACACCCCCATTGTGCACTACACAACATTAACCTGGATGCTGGTGAAGGGATATTATTATGCTTAAGGTTGATATTAGTAATATTGATATTAGTAACAACAACAACAACAACAACAACAACAACAACAACAACAACAACAACAATAATAATAATAATAATAATAATAATAATAATAATAATAATAATAAAGTTGGAAGGGACCTTGGAGGTCATCTAGTCCAACCCCCTGCTCAGGCAGGAAACCCTATCCCAATTCAGACAAATGGCTGTCCAGTCTCTTCTTAAAGACTTCCAGTGTTGGAGCATTCACAGGTTCTGGAGGCAGGTTGTTCCACTGGTTAATTGTTCTCACTGTCAGGAAGTTTCTCCTTAGTTCCAGGTTGCTTCTCTCCTTGATGAGTTTCCATCCGTTGCTTCTTGTCCAGCCTTCAGGGGCTTTGGAGGATAGCTTGACTCCCTCTTCTTTGGGGCAGCCCCTGAGATATTGGAAGGCTGCTATCCTGTCCCCCCTCATCCTTCTCTTCCTTAAACTATCCTCCAGTCCTCTGATCATCTTTGTTGCTTTTCTCTGTACTCTTTCTAGAGTCTCAACTTCTTTTTTACATCGTGGTGACCAAAACTGGATGCAGGATTCCAAGGGTGGCCTTACCAAGGCCTTGTAAAGCGCTATTAACACTTCATGTGATCTTGATTCTATCCCTCTGTTAATGCAGCCTAGCACTGTGTTGGCCTTTTTTGACAGCTGCAGCACATGGCTGGCTCATATTTAAATGATTGTGCACTAGGATTCTGAGATCCCTCTCACAATTACTACTATTGAGCAAGATACCCCCTATACTATACCTGTACATTTGGTTTTTCTTGCCTAAATATAGAACCTTACTTTTTTCACCACTGAATTTCATTTTGTTAGATAGTGCCCAGTGTTCAAGTCTGTCCAGATCCTCCTGTATCCTAAGCCTGTCTTCTGGAGTGTTGGCTATTCCTGCCAGCTTGGTGTCGTCTGCAAATTTGATGAGTTCCCCATCTATCCCCTCGTCCAAATCATTGATGAAGATGTTGAAGAGCCCTGGGCCCAGAACACAGCCCTGGGGCACCCCACTACACACTTCCCTCCATGTAGATGCGGTTCCATTGAGGACTACACGCTGAGTATATCTTTGTTTATGTGCAAGCAGCTTTGTAGGTGCTTTTTATTGGGAAATTAGTTATATAAAAGCAAATGATTCATGCTTTAGGTACAGATGATTGCTTACATGAAAAGCGCACGGTAAGGGGAGGCGGAAAAGGAGTTACGGATGGAGCCTGGGTTGCTGTGTATGAGTCATCATCTAGGAATTATTTTTTTGTGCCATCTTATGCCTGGTACCAAGACCTGATCTTTTTGTTCTGGAAAGGTATAACAGGTGGAAGACATCTTTCCCGGTGGTTGCCTTCATCTCTCTACCAGCCACGAAGAGAGACGGGGTCACCCAACTCTTATTTTGATCAAAATAAAAGTTGTTTGCTTGCTGAAACCTCAGGAGTTTTTTTGGCTCTTTTAAATTCCTGAGTAATGCTGGGACAATTGTGAGGCTAAGTGGAAAAACCTTACACTGGGTTAACCCAGTGTGGGAGGACAGCACACACACACCCTTGAGAAAGAAATATTTTGGGAATATTAAAAGACAGAATATTATATTTCCCCAAAGGAATAATGGAGAAGATCTTAAAAGGCAGAAACACACACACACACACACACACACACACACACACGTGCGGTCTCTCTGCCCCAAGCAGAAACCAGCTCTGTAGAAATGCAGATGTGATAATCCTATTCAGAAAGGTTGGGGGCAGGAAGCTAGAAGCTACATACCTCACCCAAACTCTAAAGACATGACCTTTGGTAATACGATTAACCACCACCATTAGAATACCAGAAAGGCACACTCCGACTCAGGTCAAAATTCATGCCACAGGAACAACTCCACACACAAAAGCCCAAGAAGATATAAAAACCCACCACTCCTAGCAACATGTGGTCAGCTTTCCCACAATCTCATTTCTGGTCTGGTTCTGCTCTTCAATAAACTACCACCTTCTTTCTAAAGCAGTCTCCATT